AGTGCTGCTGGCACATCACGTGTTCACCTGAGAATCAACACGCTAAGACAGCCTGCCTGGTCTACAGGGAAATCCGCATACCAGCCAGGTAGCAGACGGCCATTTGTTTCGACAATTCCACGGAACCACTTGCCGCGAGAAACAAGCGGCAAACCACTAAACGTACGAATGATATAGAACTCAATGTGTTTGGTTCGCAAGATGGGAAATCAAAGTTAACGCCGCAAAACATGCACTGAGTGGGCTGAGGATCAGCTTCTGCGTCGAGGAATATTCCGCCCTGACCATCTGCTCGCTTTGCCTGGATGGTCTTTAACCCGCGTCAAGCTAATAGTTTGCAAGTGAGCGGCAGAATGACAGCTTTCCAAACGAGTGCGTATCTTAAAGCTCAAAGCACTGGCAGCGGTCTAAATATTGAAGTATATAATTATCCAACAGGTTCAAAAGCTATGTTGGTCAACACAAGCAAACAGTCAATGTCAAAACTTCAAATGTTACAAACAATGAATTCCCAAAAGGTTGAACCAACAAAAACGAAAGATCGACTAAAGGACGTCCCATAACCTCCGTTGCCTATGGCAAAGCAGGGCAACATCATTATTTTGGTAGTTGATTCTAGTGGAACCCCCCATTTCCAAGAAAAACAAAGCTGGGCTGCCCTCAGATCCCCCGCTAAAAGTTTAACTTTTCGTGGGTTAAATGGAAACTACCACTAAACACTAAAAGGCTAAAAAGCTAAGGAACCGGATGGCTGGGAGCTTTTGGTATTTGATTCTGGTGGAACCCCCCATTTCCAAGAAAAAACACAAGGGAAGACCCCACCGGAGATTCGACCTCCGCTGCGACCAGGGCACGGCTCCAGCTTGCAGAGTGCGGCTTTAGCCTCACTGAGCTGCCGCTCCATCCGCCGCTTTTGCCGCAGCTTGGCGCGGAGGCGCTTTCGGAAATATGCTTGGACGTCCTTACCGCTGCACACCCTGGCTCTCACCAGAAACCGCGGGGGAAAAAAACAACTGGCTTTCAAAGGGAAACAAAAAATGTTTTTGCAAAGAGCTGCGGGAAAAAATGTGTTCACAAGAAGCTGCGGGAAAACATGCAAGCGATTCGCCAAATGGTCTCTGGGTTCCACAAACCTTTCAGGGGGTTACTGCGAAATGCAGACACAAAGAACACGTTGCTGTTTCTGACAAACCGACCCGCGGAAGATAAGGAAATTCGCCGCAGAGTGCTATGTCCAACATGACCCCCCAAAACTCGGTTCTTCCCCTCCTTTGAAGTACGTCCATGGTGAGTTCGAATCCCGTCATTTACACCAAGCTTCCCTCCGCACGCGCGAGGGCTTCCGCTGGGCCACAATGGAATTCACGTCCTTTGCCAGTTGAGCTGTCTCCAGCTCCTCAGATCCATTCGCTTTTTCGCCCGGAAATGAAAGAAAATCTGTCCAGTGATAGATTCCCTTTACCAACAGGGGGAAAATAGAACAGGTTCTTAAACAAATGGAAGGATCTGACCGAACTGATGGCTGGAAAACCTGAAAGGGACATTTTTTCCAATGAAATCCCAGCCTGGCTGGTGAAAGAGGTGACATGAAGCAAAATGGAAACGCGTCAAGCAACTTACCTTTGCTGATGAACATAAATATGAGATTGACCCATATTTTACAAAGAACCAACACCAAAAAAGGTGCGCTAAGTCCGGCAGAAACTCGAAGTCTTCCGCATCTTCGATGTTCTGGTAAGACCAGTCCAGGTACTTCTTGGCGCCCAGATGAGACAAAGGCCCGCTCCAGGTCGAGGTGTCCTCTCGTGGGCGTAACTTGATTGGCTCGATTCCCCCAACAGACGCAACTTACCGTTGGCGTAATCCACCCCCTCACCTTACATTCCTTCCCCACCAAAAAAGAGAGAAACAACAAAAACAAATCACACAGAAAGGAACACCTGGCGGTGGTGTCTGAATTTTCAGCGCTTTGTTTTTTATTATTATTATCCCATTCAACCTCAGCGGGTGTTTGGTGATGGAAACTTTTGGAAGCATCGCTAGTTTTTGAGAAACCTGCCCCAGCTCCCCCCTGTGCACCGCCTGGGTGCGATTTTTTGGAAGGAGGGATCCCTGACCATTGGGAAGTTTGGGACTAGAAATCGGACACGTAGCTGCAGAACTGTTCCGTGGGTTTTGCCCACAGGCGCTGGGAGCGGCCATGAGGACCTTTGGAATTGGCCTGGCTCAAGATAGTAGGGGTTGCCAGCAGGTCAAAGCTGGGCTTTGAACATACTGCTTCTGCGACCCCCACCCCCCCCCCCCCGAACCACTCAAAACACACCAAACCCCTTTGTGATCCACATTATAGAAAAGTATATATCATGGTGTCAGTCGTTCCCCTGGTTTCGGGAATCGAAGAACGTGGCAGCTTAAATTCCAACCGTACATGTGGGTGTGTCTCTCAACAACGCCTCCCCCCTACAAAGGCAAATGTTTCCCTGTTGGCAGTCAGTAACCATTCTTCAATCGGCAGGGGATCTTACTGTACGTCTTACTCCCCATGATTGACTGAAACTATGGAACCAAGACAAGGACAATAGAAAGCGACCCACAGACCGATCTGTCTGCGTCCTTCATGCATGGCTCCAAAACGACCGGAAGCACCAGCTTGCCCTGCGCTTCCGCCTCGCTGAGCTCTTTGAAGCAAAGGCTCTCAGGCTTCTCCATCTTCTGATTATAGCACTCGCTCACAAACACCACCTCAGCTTCTGGAGTCCGTGATTTTCAGGCTCGAAAGGCAGATCGATCCCAAAAAGCGGCAAGACCGACCGACGGGTTGTTGACCCTCTGCAAGAAGCTCAACCTTTTGTGGGTGCAATACGGAACATCCTCCACTGCTTCGACCAAAGTCTTGAAGTCCAAAGATCGTTGCCAAAGAGCCTTGAAGGTGCAACCAGAAGGAAGCCCGGACATTCCACTGCAACTCAAAGCTTCCCTAAACACCCGTGGCCCACTCCGCTGACTCGAGTGCAACAAGAAGCCATGCACTTGGAGGTGCCGACGGCCGATTGGATCTCGCGCCACAGATCCTTCCCGCCCTTCCTCGGCCCAGCGGATTGCCAAAACGGAAACACCTGTTCGTTTTGATGCTTTTTATTTTATTCTATTTGCTTTATGTTACTTTTTATTGTCTATTTATGTTGTTCTTATCTATTTTTATTGGGGGGGGAGTTGAAATTGAAGGGAACCCCCTCCTAAAATCACAGGGCACATGTTTTGGCAGCTGCCCTTAAAGGGAAACCAAAAAACCAACCAAAAAAAACATAAGCCTTAAGCATCAGAACAAAACACAAGTGGGAGGCTGAGATTCAGATGCTGATAATCCAGGAACGTGCCAAACCGAAAGTCTCCGCGCAGCGCTTCTTCTACCTGTTTGACCTTGGCTGATCAAACTGGCGATAGAAATGCAAACCGGCATAATTTTGAGGCAACGCAAGCAAGTTTCCCAATTAGCGGCTGGAAACCTCCACTCCATTTGCGCTAAACACAACAATCCGAAAGTTTGATGTTGTTTGAGTCAACATAGTCAGCACCAAGCTACTAGGCGGTGGTACTTGTTGTCTCTGCCCCAGCTGTAAGATAGAAACAGGTCTAGACCCTGCTGCCGACGCCAGAAGTTGCGAGAGCAGCGTGTGCGCTGAGAGGACCAGCTGGATCCCATTTTCGTGCCAGTCAATTGCCAGGCGGATCCCATGGCTGTCGCCATCCTTAGAAAAACCCACAGAAGTGACCACCTGTCGTTGGAAGCCCAACACAAAGAACAAAACTCGGTTGCTTTCTGCTCCCCTGCGAAAAGTTTAACTTTTAGTGGTTCAATGGAAAATCCATTAGTTGGCAAAAAATTAGTCCTAACATCCAAGCAACATGCGCCAAAGAAAAAGTGGTGCTGGGCAACCCAGAATCAACAAAGCCAAGGCGACGCATCGTTTCCAGGGCTGACTTCCTGCCATGGCGGGCAGTGGGCAAGCCGCCGTGGCCCTGGCTGGCTTGAGCAGCCTCGTCGACGCTGGGAAACAAACAGGCTCAAAGAGGTGAACATCAGGGACAGTTTGGTGGACATCATTTACATGCCAGCTCATATATACATATATGAGTTGGGGTTAGATGGAGCCCATTGCGCAAAAGAGGATTGAACAGGTATAACAAATACCCGCATGCTAGACATATACTGCCGCTCAAATCGTCCTCCACATTGCGGTGACTGTCATTCCATTGTGGTCGCTGCAAAGAAGGCAGGAGCCTCGCAGCCCTATCTCTAAGTGCCATGAAACAGTGATGTTTGATGGCCCGTCTGAAGACCCCTGCTCAAATATCCCTATAACACACATTGAATGAACATTTTACATTGTAGGCATACATACATTCATCTCTACTCGATGCAACATCAGCACCCAGGCAAAAAAAACATATGTTCCGCACAATTCATCATTTGGTGCTCCATCATGCGGAGGACAACATATGAACCACGGTCCACACAGGTCTTTGAGAAACAGCGAGTAGCCCGGTAGTTGGCGAGAAATGCAGCCAGCTCCCAAGTCGACCATGCCGGATAGTTTGCCCGACCTTGAACTTCCGGAATGTTGAAGGGACACCGGAGACAGCTGCCAGCTGAAGGGCGGCATCAACCCTCACTGATTTTGAAACAACATGCGCTATGGTCAATACTCCGCCACTGGGGGGTCACGTTGTCTCCCATAGGAATCCTTCTTAATCATGGAGTTCTAAATCCCCATTGAAGGCTACATTACCATCCTGGGTACCTGTCAAGGAAGCAAGCACACATATTGGCCCGTGCGCTCGAGAGTCTGGTTTCATGCCGTGCCTTGGAATGTAGACAAGCCTCTGTAAAAAAAAAAACATGGTGGGCTTGAGTTCCACTTGAAATGTGCAAAAGAACCCCATGTGTGTTGCAGGGCTCGTCCCCTGGCCAAAGACAACGTGCCCCTTTTTCAGCGAACCTCAGGCTCAGCAGCGCACCTGAGCGACTCTCAAGGTGTCCTCCCTCCAAGCTTCCCACCCGCGCCAAGCCTTCCCGCCCACCCTTGCCTCGATTTCTTTGGTAACTCTCCTCACAGCGCAATTACCCACTCATCTTATAAACAGGTGATGAGTAAATTCCGCTGGGCAAATCATATAAATAATAATTCACCAACCGAAAGAAGACAGGGTTTCTCTAAACGGATTCGTCGCCCTCCAGCGGAAGGATACATGCTCTACCATCAACTGATAGACTAATGAAAGGTTTCCTTTTGGATCACATTGCCTTAGGGCGCCAAAGTGAAAAGGTCAGCCTTTTTTTGAGGCTGTTTGTTAAACACCCGGAGGGTCTGCAAGGTTCTTATAGGGACGCTCCAGCTTCCCAGTCTGGGTCTAAGCCCCAATAAGGGAACGTGGCAAAACCAATCGACCCCACCAGCAATTAATAGCCGATATAGCTAGTGACGTTCTGACAAAAAAATGAAGGTACCAAGAGACACTCTGGATTGGCAACTTGTTCATTTTGTTCTGGTTGCAGTCAGCTTCACACATGTGTCCAAGGATAGGGGAATTCATGGGGAAGCCTCATGGGGTATCACCGGCAAGAAGCTCACATCCATGGGGAAAGTATGGGAAAGTGCTAACATTCAGCACCTTTTCTTCGACAAGTCCAAAAGAAAGCCACACACGTTTAGGGATCCAATTGCGGAATGAGCAGCACTCTCAAACCCAGGGGAATGATCCATGACAGACCACGCAACCCCAAGTATCAGAATCTTTTGACATTCACCATGTCACAAGAGTAGTCTTGCCTCCTCCAAACACACCCCCGTTACAGACTGAAATCGACCAAACCTGGAAGTGCTAAAATCGTTTGCGGGGTGGGCACATTCCTGTGATTTGGGCCCCTTCGCTTGAGACATGTGAATCTTGAGCCACCATAATCGGAGCCACTAGCAGTCACTAGCATTAATGAATGACCCCAACTAATAAAAAATCGAAATCCGGGGCCCGGGACCAGATTTCCACTCCGCACAGTTGATTTTTAATTGAGCCAATACTAAACCCTTACTAAAGTCTTGGAATCCTTATTAGGGGGCACTTTTAACAAGCTTCCAGCCCTACTTTTAAAAAGGTGGGTTCCCCAAAAGGTTATTTCCCCCCAAGTTTTTTTTTGGGGGGGTCCTTTATTGGGGTGGCGTCCCTCAAAAAAAACATGTCCCCAAAAGCTGTCTAGCTGCGACTGTCTCTCTCCCGTACATGCTGGCTAACTAATTACCTAACCTGCCTGGCTGCAAACAAACAACCAGTAAACTAAAAAACAAATGGAATGATACATACAATTTCCTTTTTAAACCGCTTACTCGCGGACCTTACAATTGAATCCATTTCCTCCAAATCCTATGTGAATCCTCACATTGTTGGAAAAAAAAAAACCAACCCCAAAAACCCCAATTAAGTATATATATATATATATTTGGGAGGTTTTGTTTCTTCTTTTGTTTTTTTTTTAAAAAATGGGGGGTGCGTATTTATTAATAGGGGGAACGGATTATATTCATCCAAAGGGAGTTGTTTTGTTGTAGGAACATGATCCACATAGAGATACTCCTTTGATTAGTATGGTTCTATGGATTAATCCGAAGTTGAGATTCAAAATAGAAGCCAAGAGTCTCTTTGTGCGCGAGGCAATTGCGCTGCTGGCCGCACGTATCCGACGAATCGCCTAGCCAGAGCGCTACGGTCGATTCCAACGAAACGTGCATTGCATATAGGGCAGAGCATCAGGGGAATATTCCAGAAACCAGCTCCTAAATGGTGGGACGTGAACTGGGGCCTTTCCCCAAAAACCAATCCATTCTCCTTTGTCAAACCCAGACTGCCCAAGCCGAGCTGCTCTCTTTCCACAGCTGGCTCCACATGCCAGGCTGCTTCTTCTCCAGGCAAAGCTGCACAGACCTGTCCTGCAGGCTCAAAGAAAAGGCCGCACTCACCCGCCCGGGCAGCCGGATTCCATGCAGGGTGAGACCCCGATTCCATCCAGTCTCAGGGCAAAAACCGATCTAAACATGGAATTCTAGGAGGCTTTGAGCCTCAAGTTATCCAAAAGGCTCAAAGGCTAGCGCACTCTGAAGCTGCAGCAAGCACATTGGGTTTTCTCTCTGGCAGGAGAATGAATACTATCATTTGGGCAGATTACAACACATGTCATGTGGGCAGATTACAACAAATCATAAACCGGAGCTATGGAATCCCTGGTAAAGGGCCTTCATAGGCTAATCCTGTGTGACGCAGGGCAATACAAAAAAATATGTGTAAATAATTGTATCCGATGCGTTGGAGTATGTCTTGACAGGTCGAAGGAAACTCCCAATCGGCGCTAGCTCTGTCGAATGGCGCATCACCAAATGGTGTCCTTTTTGGGAAAATAGATGGCCCTGGTAGTTGATGAAACCACCAGGTAAACCAGGGCCCTCTATGTTTAAACCAAATCAACCAAAAAGGACACCTATGCTCGTCACACGATCATATGCTCTGCAAATGAGAATGACAGGCCTGCTGTCGACTTCGAATCAGCGTCTGCAAGGCATCGAAGTTCCGAACATGGCTTGCTAAATGACAGGTGCAGCATATGAGTGCTCGTTCTTCCAGGGACGAATAGCTGAGGTGCTCCTCTTCCCCACAAGTTGGTGACGCAGTTTGGCGAGTCGGTGTGAAACAGAGGGCTGGAGGTTGAATCAATGAACAGGGCGCCCTTTCGAAGATCAATACTTGAAAACAAAAAAAACAGACGGACTTGAAATTGTGTGCCTCGTGAAGGGAAATGAAAGCCATGCTCTTTTTGGAACCAAAGCCATGTCTTTGTTTATCTCGGCGTTAGTTATTAGATATCGTTTAGACGTTTGGAGGCTCGAGGCTGCCCATGAGGGATCAGCAGGAAAAAACAACTTCAGACGGGCAGCCGAACCGGTCCCCTCGATCTCGAACATAATGTCGCCCACGTTTGTGACATCTCCTGCCAGGAAGGTCGATACAGGCACCGCCGTTGAAGGTGACCAACCGAGTGAAGTTGAGCTTGCCTTGTTGAACGTTCCCACGGGCAACCGAAGGGAAAGTCAACTCTTGCGGCTCCAATTCGTTTGAGACAAGCCCTGCGAATTGGCTCTCGGGCGACGGCATCCATAGGTGACCCTAGGAGTGCCGTTGAGTCTTAAACCAACAAGTTGGTAGTTTACCCATTGCAAGGCAAAACCTCAGCTACTCTAGCGGCCTGCAAGTGCTCCCGGAAAACAAAACACGTGAAGAAGCCCGAGAGTTACTCGGTCCTCCAGTAGAGAGGTTAGAATAAGGGTACCCTTTTTGCTGTAGTTTATTTTAGTAGGGGAACCCTCCCCCAAAAAAAGAGGAGAGAAGGGCACTACTGATCACTACTGAGAAACCTAGAAGAACGTGAAGAAACTTGAGTTAGACTGCGCAATTTGCGGGCCACTTCCCAGTCGGAATTTTCCCGACTCCCGACGTGTCCTTTTGGTTGAACATAGATGGGTTTCCCTGGCAGGCAAAAAACAAAACAAAAAAAACGATCAGTCAACTCCAGGAATCGCCAAAACAAAGCAAAACAACCAAAACAACCAAAAAACAACCAGACCAAAACGACCAGGTCTACCCTTTCCCCAAAAAACAACCAAAAAAAACACACGCCGCGACCTGGTCCCAACATTCGTGGGTCCCTGTACTCCGCGGGTGTCTCGCCTGCCAGCTCGCCTTGCACCACCCGCTCCGACTGGAGCCCAAGCCTGGAGGCCGGGGTTGGGGGGGCCGGGGGAGGGGGCGGGAGGGAGGGGGCGGGAGGGAGGGGGCGGGAGGGAGGGGGCGGGAGGGAGGGGGCGAAGGAGGGGGGGGAAGGGGGGGGGGAGGGGGGGAAGGGGGAGGGGGGCGGTTGTTTGAGGGCACATGATTTCAGGTTGTTGGTTTCAATTTGAGGGCACATTTTTTCAGGTGTTTGTGTTCAAGGGACATAGGAAGGACCATCAACTTAGGAAATAGAAGGAAGAGCCACCAACACAGGACATATGAAGAACCATCAACTTAGGACATGCAGCACACAGGTGAATTGTACACATGAAGCGCATCCTGGTTGATCATCATGTTGGGCGACCATCTTGAAACATGTCACTTCATTCAGGGTACATGATTTGAGGTTTTTTTGGTTTCACGGGACATAGAAGGAAGAACCATCAACTTAGGTAGAATTTGAAAGGAAATCAAAAGACAACCGACATGTTCAACATGTTGAGGATCCTCAATTGTTGTTCTATTCTAGTGGCAGAGATCGGGTCAAAGAATCCTGAAGGTTAACTTTTGTCACAAGGTTCCGGCTTTTCCCTGTCCCCTTGCATAATTATTGTTTCTGACTTGCACAGCGGGCAAAAAAACATATTGCCAAAACAATGTTCCCATGTTTCCCTTTGGAGCCGCCCAAAAGCGTTGGCATACTAAACATAACACCTTTCCGCATCCATGCTGTAGAACACAGAATGCGAGGGGCGTCCATGTTGGGCAGGAAACCGAAGGACCGCAAACATCCAAACCCACCGTTAGATTCATCTGACATGGTTCTGGACGAGGCTTCCTCATGGAATCCAGGGCAACTGATTCATTTTGGCGCGTAATCTGATGGGCGACGGCTGTATATCATTCGACAATCATAGGAGGTTCGCACTGGCAGCACTTGGAGCACTCCTGGAAATGTGACAGTGGATGCAAAGTGCAGCGGCCCACACGCCGAATTCCGGCACAAGGCCCCGTGCGTCTACATTACATGATCCAACACAAAACGTGTTTACGCGGGAAACCCACCCACAAACACATGCGATGTTTAAAGTTGAACATTGGTGTTGTTGCTTGCTTGCATTGCGCGCGTGTCTAATTTCAACATACGTCAGTCTTCCCGCAAAGCTACATGAAGAAACATATATCGTTGTTGTAACAAAGACTACCGAACGCGCAATGCACAGATTCCATTTAAACACACGCGAGTTTTTTCCAGTGGGCCCGGTGTAAATTGTGACCTCGGCTTCTCCAAGCGTGAAGATCCCGTTCGCCTGCCAATCATGACCCCAACCCCCCAACCCCCCCCCCCAAGGCTCATGGCGCAATTGACAGGCGGCACTCAAGGAACCCAGAACCTGCAAGAGCAACAACAGTACGAAGTTTAGTTTGAATCCGTTGAGTCCAATATAATAAACTAACGAAGTACCTCAATTGCGTGTGTCCCGCAAAAAGGAGTTTGGGCATGTAAGCTGGGTTGCCTAAGCTCTTGTGGCATGCCCATGAAGGTTGCGCGAGCTACAGCGACACCCCAGTCACAGCATGTGTTCGACAAGCGGCATAAGCAGCAAATGAGGATTGTCGTCTTAGTTGGAATGACTGGAGTGATGAAGCAACCGGACAGCCTTAACTGGACATGGTGACTCAGCCGTTGGGCAGCCCTTCTCTGTTCAGGAATTACAAAACATCATGCCTTGTTTCAGGCGTGATCGAATGACAACTATGACTACTGGGTTTGCAATTCCTGCTCCCGCAAATGTTTAGAGAGTAGCGGTGGCGGAGTTCTGGAGGTGGCCGGTGCGGAAGCAACCCGCTGCAGCAGTTTGCTCAAGCGCTTTTGGTATCAGGCATCTTCGCGTGGCATGAAGCAACATGTCTGAGCTGTGAAGGAACTTCAGGGATATCTCATCTCCGGGTCTGACTGTGTCCGTGTGAGAACTTGCACTGGGCCGAGAGGGACTTGTGGTGGTCACTCATTCGCAATCTTCCTCACGGAAGGCGTGTAGTCCAGCTCATCCTGATGCACAATGACCACGTTCTCGTTTGGCTTTTGCCTGTGAGAGACCTTGGTCTTTTCGACAAGCAGCCCTTGTGGTGCCAGCTCCTCCATGTAGGAGTTACTCGGTCCTTCGTATTGGGCGTTGCTTTCCTTGCTGAGGGCACTTTGTTGTGTTTTTGCACGGTGCCCCGATCATTGCCCAACGAAACTAGTATATGCCTCTGTCAGCTGTGCGGCCTCAAGGTCAAATGGAAAGCCAAAACTGGGCGTGCGCAATCAAGGCGCCATTGGGCAGCCAGGCGTTTCGGCTACGCATTAGACACAGCTTTGTCCCGACCAAAGCCTCTGCTGCGCCGAATCGCACAAGCAGTGCTTCAGGACTGGTTGAGAAACCCTGGGCGCTGTGATTACATCGAAGCATGCCCAAGCTGTGAGCTACATCGAAGCATGCCCAAGCTGTGAGCGCCAGGACAGCCAAGCGTGAGCTTACGCGCGCTCTCATGTCCCACACAGCTTGGCACAGATTCTGAATATTCTAGCTTGTTGGTGGGTCTTGGGTCTTGCGTCTCCTGGATAGATGCCGGCTTCCTGGCTGCAGATCTTGAACTGAAAGCGAAGTAATCAGTAGCCCACGGCTTGGCGGTCCCGGCGGCAGCACTCAGGAGTAGCTGGCCTGGTGTCTGTTTTGGCGGCATGGGTTGGCGCGCGGAGAAAAAAACAACGACCCGCGGAAGCCCAGCAAGCTGCAAGGATCTACTTCAACCAATTGTCGTCAGTCACCATGGACAAAGCGGTATGGTTGACCTTGACCAGGGCACGCTGCTTTGAAGCGTCGGCGCAAGCTCAGCTTTCTTAGCTCCCGGCTCAGACTCTGGCAGCCCGTTTCTGTGGGGTTCTTTGGTGCCCCTTTATCAGCAGAAACTGTGGCTTCCCTAATTCAAGTAAGACCCATCCATTTCGGGCATGGCGTCCGGCCCATGCCTGAAGTCTCGCTTCTTCAGAGCGAAGTCGATGTCCTTGCTCTTGACAGTCCTGGGTGTTCATAATGGGGGGGGGTTCTGTGCATACCTGGCTTCCTTGAAACAAACCCAAACAAGAGTGCCCTCCAAAATGCAAGTATGGATATCTCACAATATGTCCACAAACAAAGCGACAAGGGAATACCCAAAACCAATACCCACGAGGACACGGGACAAATGTGTGCCCCCCAAACCCCTCCCGATTCTGTGGAAATTCGCTACTGGACTGCTGCCGGTTTGGCCAGTGGCTTGCACTCGTAAGCCGTCGTCAAAACATGCTTTCCATCATGCGCGTTCGAAAACTTAGGGTTGCGTCCGGTGATTCTCCCACTTCTGGATATTCCGACCAAACCTCACCTGGGGTGTCCAACACGAGCAAACCCCTAAAAAGGTGGGGTTGCTTGTCCAAGTCTAAACGGTGGACCCCTGCAAAAGTCAGGTACCGTTCTATATGAACAGCGTGGCTAATCCTCAACCTCCTGCACAAAGTGGAACGTGCCGCTGTAGATCCCCCAGCAAAAAGCTTAACTTTTTGCTCTCTCTCAATCGCCACGTGCGGAAGCACTGCTAGGCTAAGCCGAACTATGATCCAGGGGACAAGAAGTGAGGCGTAGCCAAGCGCCGAAAGGACATATGAAGGGAATCCAACAAGTTAAAGTCTAAAGATCCAACCCAATAGCAGTAGAGGATCTGCATTTGTTACTATGACTCGAACATCCGAATACGGCATCTGGCAGCCAAGCCCCTACATGGTGAGCTCATTTACCCTAGCTGAGGAACCCCCAAGTGCAGGAACTGTATCATGGTGAGGTCGTTACATTTATCCCGGGAAAAATATCGCAATAAGATAGGCAGATAGATCAAACATCAAGCCGAAGAACAACCTCTCTGTCAATGTATCAGACACTGGACATGTTGTGCTAGAAATCGAGGTCGCGGGCAGGTCGAGACACATACACAAACACAAGTGAGTGGGTGTTCCGCATGTACATAACATCCTGCATACCCAACAATATACATATGTCTGAATAGAAATATATGTATATATATGCATATATCTATATTGCCTGCTGCAACTAACTATCCCAAAGAGGCCCCATGAGCATGTTCGCGGCCCAAACATTCCCTGCCACCATATTTTTCAGCATGCAATGGCGTGCGGAAGGCTTCAGCAACTTGAGTCACAATGACTCCAACACAGTGTAACGTACAACACAAACCAGGCAACACAGAACATATCAAACACACATCCAGGGTTTGCCTTTCAACGAGCGGGCCCCTGATTTAAATCTCCAGGAAATCCAATTGAACATTGATTTAACGTATCCCGAAGGGACTGCATTCGTCGACTCGTGTTCGCCCCTTTTGGGCTCGCCTCTGAGCTGCCCTCCGACTCGGATCCCGACAATGCTCCCACATCCCATTAAGCCAGAACAGGGTGGTGTGCCTTGGACCCTGCCCCCAAACACTAACAGTCATCACAATTTGGAAGACCATGTTAGTGGTTCTTGATCTAAATTTCCACCATCCACTGGTAGTGGGTGGGGGCAGGGTCCAAGGTGTTCCAATCAACGGGAACCCGGATCCTGAACTTCCACCTCTCTACCGCGTCTTTTGCAAAAGCCCCCTCCATTTTCTTGGATTGATTCTGGTCTCAAGAAAGCAAACTCAATTCAAAAGATATCCGCTCTGATAGATCAGTCAAAATCAATTCAACAAGTGCAAGAAATTATGACAAATAAGTCGGACATCCCCGGACAAAGTTGGGAAGGCCCCGGAGGGAGCTTCCCGATAGGAAGGCTTAGGCTCGGCCCAATGGGCATCCGGAGGTGAATCTCAGCGGGGGTCTGCGACCAGCTGTAGCCTAGGGAGACGCTCGCGTGCTTGCTGACGGCATCATGCCATCCAAAGATGTTCTGTTGGTACCTTCCAAGGATGTACCTAAGAGCCCGAAAGAGGTTAAAGTAAACCCTCGCAATGTAACTGAATCCTGATTTGGGGTCAGTGTCGCAGTTTCTTACCAAGCCGTCGCCCTTGCAAGTGTTCTGCTTTTAGCGCCTGCACTATAACCCAAATCTAACCAGCAAGTAGAAATACCAATGTTACAATGACCAGTCGTGACTTTGGGCGCTGCTCAAGCGAGAAAGTTGTTTCTTCCAATGAAAAAGCAAGTGGTTGGTCTCCTTTTGGCCTTCAAACACCATTGAAACATTCAACAACAGCCCCCACGGCCGGCCCAAGCGCTATTCTGAACACTTACTCGCGTGCGGCTGGACAAAAAATGAAAGGTGCTCGCATTGTTCTGGGGCAACTTAGCTGCTCAGGGACCCTGGTCGAACAAAGGAGACCCCTAAAGAAAGAAGGGTGCCACTGAACAACTGGAGCGAGAACAACTCGCAAGCCAGAAAGGGGAAAGCTTTAAAACAAAATATCCGGAGCACTAGTGGTAAACCAAAAAAAAAACGGGGAAACAAAAAAACACACAAAAAAAAAAAACAAAGAAAAAAAACACGAAATACACAAAGGTGCAAAGGTCGGCTTGGGGCCCGGAACCCCGGATCCGCCCGCCTTCGCCGGCGCCGCGCGCGCCCGCGGGAGCGCGGAGGTAGGGCACGGGCAGCAGGCGCTGGGGCTCCACAGCGCCGAAGGAGGTCCTCGTTTTGGGGCTCTTTGGGCGGTTGGTTTCAACTCATGTTGACCCTGGATTCATAAAACCCTGCTTTTTAATCCTCCATTTGCTGAATTCCCCTGGAAGAAAAGTACTTCCAGTAGTGATAGATTCCCTTTAAAACCAACAGGGAAAATACAAAATATTCTTGAGCAAATGGAAGTAATACGGTGGGGATTTATCATTTTGGAGGGGTCAACGCCGTTGGGGTGGGCTTGGGCCCTTTGGCTGGTCATGAGTAAGCCTGAAGTCAAGGGTTGATCCAGGGTTCATCGATGTTTGCATGCATGGGGGCATACATTCAACCAATTGAAACTGTGAATTTAAACGGAAGTCCAACGACCTCTGCATTCGGATCGAAACAAATCTCCATATATGCTTCCAGTCAAAACCATTGCTCTGTAGGGCATGTTGTGTCGGTCGTCACTCCTCGTGCCACCCATATGACAGCCGTGTTTCTCCCAGAGCATGTCAAAACAAACACACTTACCTTAACATTGTCATTGCCAGCTGTTCGGTCAAATCAAAATGACCAGAAAACAAACACTGCATGAGATGCCAGAAGGTACTGAGATGAGCGCTATTCTGGCTTCACAAAACGAGCCAAGGTCAGGCAACGAAAGCTGCGGCCTCAGATCAAAGATCCCAATGGCCAGAGTAGTAGTGGGCGCTGGCGGAGACTCCACTTTCTTTTAGGATTCCTTGCCTGGGACGATGACCTTCAGGGCTGAGATGGCACCCCAAGTTTGATCCTCCGGTGGCATCCGAGACCTTTTCTTTGAACACCTGCTCAACTCAAACTGACTTCATGTTGCCCCCCAAAAAACACCATGCTTGACTATGGTCCAGATTCATGAGCCGTAAAATGTAGAAACAAAAAACACGAAAGACCATGCCAACAACGATTGGTGAACATCACACTGCATCCAGGGCACTGCAATATCTCTGCCTTCTCATTCAATGTCCGCAGCATCCGCAGCACCTCCTCCTGCTCATCTTGACTCGCGAGGTCGCACTTGTTCACAACTAGAACCTCAGCCCCCCAATCGATGCCTTGCCTTCCCCCTGTGTTGTGGACACTTCGAGACGTGTTTGCAGCTCCAACCCCGAAACGCCCCAAAACCCACGGGAAATGCACGACTGTGACTTTCAATAGGCAAACGTCACAAATGGCAGGTGGACATAACTCCCGTGTATATGATGCAAAGGCAGCCCAAACAACATACCATATGTAACCTGTGCACCGTGCAGTGAAGCTTTGTCAAGAGACACACGACACGGCGGTAGGTCCGACTCTGGGATAAACCCACACATCTATCTTTGCAAACAACAGCTTGGTGGGTGCGAGTTCCAATTTGGACCGGGCATCATTTCGGGCATGTTGGTCCAAGGGGCGTTGATGTCAAGATTCACAGCCAAAAACGATGTGCCGATGTCCGAAACCCTTTCCTAGTGGTGGGACTCTTTGGAAGGCTTATTCGATGGATCAAACTAAACGTGTGGACGGTTGCAGGGCTGTATCGTGGGTCATCCTGTAGACTAGACAGTAGGAAACGAAACCTTCTCAACGCCAACAATGTCGTTGAAAAAGCGTACATTCCAAAATCAGTAGGAAACGAAACCTTCTCAACGCCAACAATGTCGTTGAACAAATACATTCCAAAAGACCTAAACAACTTCTTAAGACTTGGAGGGCATGACTGCACTTTGTTGCCAGTAACCTTGGCCCCTAGCGGGGGATCGATCGCGCAAACGGGCGGTTGTGAATTTTGCTTGGCGCCTGCCTCTCAGCACATCCGGTTTATGGGGCTGTGTCGGGCTGTGTTGTTTCTGCCTGGAACTGCCTGAAATCCAAACCCGCTACAGCGTCCTCCGTTGAGGGCTCGCTCTCTGAAGACACCAACACGTTGGCCAGCTAAACAATGCCGGGAGAAGAGGGACAGGTATCCTCTGGTGTTGATGAACACCCTGCTTCCGTTTGCCCAAAACACATGGACAATTGCGACTTCTGTCAAAACGATGGGTGAACGCGCCTATTGTTAGATCCTGCGCGGCCCCCATTTGTGGATAATGTTTGTTTGAGAAACATACTTATTAACAGGGTCCCAGAAATCCGCTCGCTCTTCCCTAGGCCCGACGGAATTGTAGAAAGAAAACCTTTACATTTGAATTGTAGGCCAAATCGCAAGAACCCTTTCTTGACTCAGAAACACACGTTTATCTGCGGTTTACAACGTTGCATCGAATCTGGGACTCATGATTTCCTGTTTTTGGTCGAGTTGAACGAGGGAAGCGCTGAAAGTACCCGCTGGGATAATGAGGGCTGTCAGAAGCTTAGTGTTGCTTCTGTCTTGGGTTACTTAAGAGGAAGGGGGAGGCCACTTTTTGGATCTGTGCCTCAAAACACACATTTTGTTATGTAGTGTATACATAACACAGGGATGGATATATTAAGAGGGGGGTGCCCCCACTCGCTACGCCTTTAGCCATCTCATCTTCATGTGACCGGCGTGTCGGATGTGTCGGGCACGTCGCTCAGCTCAGCTGTGGCCGTGGCGCAAATCTAGGGGTACCTTCCATTTCCATTCTTTCCAGGGATTCAGGGATCTTTTCAGGCGGAAAAAGCGCCGGTTTTTGAAAAGAACCATGGTTGAAAAGAATGGTTGGAATCAGCCCCTAGAACAAAGCTTGGCCCATGATTGGACCTTTGGCCGTTCACCTCTTGGGACCACCATCTAGTTGTCCTGCAGAGCTAATTCCACACAACAACTAGCAACTCGTTTGTTGTTCATGAGAACAACAATCACCTAGTATACTGCAACCAAACATGCTAGTCAAACATATACCATCTATTCTTGGCAAACTCAGTGATAGACTTTTTGTACTCAAAACCAAACACAAAGAAGAGTCGTGTGCCCCACCCAGCTGACCCCGACTGGGACCCCGAAAAAGACCCCGACTCGGCTTGCTTTGATTCGTGCGGCGTCTGCCAACTCCACCGTTTCGGCCAACAGTTCGCACACGGAGCTGGAGACGTTGGCCAAAAGCCCATGCCTAAGGCCACGACTCTTGGTGAAATGGCTGTGGCTCAAAAAAACGGTACCAAAATGGAACCCTGGTAAGTGGAAACATGGACCAACACCTGCGTAACCCCTCCTGTTTAATTTTGAGCCACACACAAATGGGTTCCAACACATCTAAGCAATGGTTTCTGAAATGCAGGGAATCCTACATGGTTTTTGGTTCAAATGGTTTCCGGAATGCTACACCGGTGGTTATCAATTGAATCGGGAACATGTTTCTTGGAGCCCGTTTAGGGGCCTTGCATCCCTCTACAAAGCGGTGGTTCCTTGCACGAGTGCCAACGAAGGGAACGCGTGTAAGGGGAAGTCCAAGAAGTCCAACTGGGCTCCCCCCCGTACATAGGAGGATTCCCCTTGCTGGGTATTGCAAGTAAGGCTGTCATAAACCATGGACACTTACGGTACCTTGCTCGTTCCCCAGTTCCAAGATGTGGGAATCAACCCTGCTCTCCACAAACCAACTTGGAAGTGAGCAGACCTCTGCTGTGTGACATGTTCACTGCCATGATTCACCGGCGGGTACGCACGAAGATAGTTTACCAAATAACCTAGACAGAACACAACAACATGCTGGGATCATGACTCAATACAGGCTCCCTCTAGCTGCTATGTTATCTTATGTGTACTTTGTGTTGCTGAGTTGGTGTCTTTAAATATGTTGTTATTGTAGGATTCCCGATAAACTCCTGCCCCTCAACCATTATCCACCAAGACAGAACTCGCTGACGCATTGTGGACAAAATCCAACAAGTAGAAACTTGGTTGAGATAAATAAAACACACAGACACATTCTCTGCAAGCCTCGCGATTCGCATCTCGAGCCTGCCATGAAGGGCCATAGGTGGCCTTCTGGTAAAATAGATGGGTTTCCCTTGTAGCTGGATCTCAAAACCCCAGGCTAAACCAGTCGAGCCCATGTCATGACTTTCAATACGAACCAAACATCAAAAGCACCAAGGGCAGTGACGGCCCTTTGCAGCCGCTCACCCGGATGTCAAGGACGGCCCCCCAGTCCATCGTGGGAGGGTGCGAAACTAAAACAATGTCCTCCCAAAGCGCACCGTGAAGCCATAATCTAAGTCTCGAGCAAGACTATCACCCCCGAACCTCACAGCGGGGTGGTCTGTTTCGGCTGTTCAACATGGAGAGGGCATTATCCGCAAAGGAAATAACGGACAAAGAGAACCCCCTTTCGTAATCCAAGGAAACCCTTGATCTTTGAATCGCCCAGTCTTTGGCTGGAGTTCTTGTTGGATGTCGTTCTTTTTATTGAAAGGGAATCAGTTGCACCAATACACATAAAGGCACACCATTGATTCAACCCAAGCAGCTAGCTGTCTAGGTTGTCCACAACGTCGGTGTTGAGTTTGGGGGGGCGCTTTCAAAAGGATCGTCCGTAAGACTGGGTCTTAGTTTCGGGGGCCATACTTTTTTCTCTGGACCGACCGCTGGTGCTCATTCCGAGCCCTGCATTCGCTCGGATAACTCACCTGCCTGCAGGCATCCGTGGCATTCGGTGACCGCACCTGGTAAAAACGGCAGGAGCACGTGAGTCAGAATCAAAACCTATTATAGGAGTCCTCTCTCCCATGGTGTAAACATGGGGCTACGCACTCCGCTGCCAACTAACCTTTGCTTTCACTCTTGGGAAACCTGCGACACAGCTCTCCATCTGAGCCAACCAAATCTCCTACCCAAACCAAGTAAGACACATCAAAAGGGCTACTCTTCGCCACACGGATTTCGGGTGAGACTGGCCTAGGCTTTGATCGTGGCTCTCGTCCCGCCGAAAACTCAAAGGGCCGCAGAAGCAACAAAGGCACTGGGTACACATGAAATACAAACACATAGTGGTGTTTCTTTTTGAGGGTACCTATGGTATCTCTTTTTGTGGTTTTCAAGGGAAGCCCAAAAAAACAACTGCAAGTTTAGTGGGTCCCCTGCAAAACTCACAACCATATGTGCCGGGGGTTGGGTAGGGGGTGGTTGGTTGGACCCAGGGCCCAGTAGGTGGTTGGGTTACAAAGTTGTGGGCTGATGAAACCAAGCGCTTCCTGGAAACACATGCGCGCAAATTGTGTTTAATGACTGGAAACTGTCACTTCAAGAGAAGTCACAGCAAGGCAAATCTGAAGGTCTTTCAAAACGGCGCTTCAGGTCAAAGAGCAAAGGCCTGGCTTTAAACGCCAGAGCTGTGACTGAGTAAGTCTCTACGTGCTAAACAAAACTAAACATTGCTCACAAGAGGGGGCCCACCGCGGAAATCGCATTTTCAGCTTCTTAAAATGTTGGAAACATCTCCCGGAACCAAAAGTCCCCGATTCTGGGGCACTGTGACCCCAGCAACTGGCCCCGTAAGTATGCAAGGCTCAAAGGGCCTCTGTGGGTTGGCCATGGTTCCTGGAAACCAAACACCGGGCTCCTCAAGTCTCCCCTTAACAAACTTCCCCTGCAGAGATACACTCACGGAAAGATCGGGGTTTCTCACAAAGGGACGTGAAAAAGGAAACCACGACTACCTTGAGAGGTTCCCGAGTTTGAGAAACACCCAACTCGGACTCCCGAAAGAAAGGTCAGACTCACTCCTCCGCGCGCCTCGCGGCCGTCCTGCCAGTCTCGCAAGAAGGTGCTCGCCTAGGCGACGCGAGATCACCCCGACTGCCCGAGTTGAACAGGTGTTCAGAATTCAGATTGCGGCACAAAA